GCGAATCATTCAAAGGAATCTGGCTTTCCCCATTGACTTAGCTTATTGGAAGCCAGCTGGGAAGGTTGCAAGTGGTGATCACGGGACACCAAGGCGTTGCAACCATTGCAAATGCATGGCGACTGCCAAGTGCGCAAGTTTTGATCATGTGACCATAGGGATCATAAGGGCAAGGACCAGTTGTAAGTCACCCTTTTCAGTGCTGTTGTAACTTCAAACAGTTGCTAAATGAATGATTGTAAGTTGAGGGTTACCTGTAGTACAAGTAAACTTACCAAATGAAAAAAAGGGGGAAGAAAACACTGAAAAAATAGGAATGTATTTAAACCCATAAAAAAGTAATTTCTTTGCTATGGTGGGTTTGGGGTTCAGAATTCTCCCTTGCACAATTTCTGCTCATATTAAATATATTCATACCTGGCCCTGAAACATTTACAAACTTAATTCTCTGCACAATTACACATTTTAGGGCAAATCCAGAAAATTCTGTGTATTTTTGCAACTGAAGATGGAAGGAATAAATATTTACTAGAGGCACACGATAAGCCAAAATTAAGCACTTTATAATTCTAAAGGGAGAAAAAAAAATGTCATGGGCTTATCTTTTATTGCTGAAATGTTCTTCCAGATGTTCTTGAATATTGTTAAATATTTCCTCTGAATATCAAAATATTACAACTTGTTTTGTAAACTGTTATCCATATGACATATACATACAGGGCATAACAAGCTTATTTCATGGCTTGACTACTACAATCTGCTCTATGTGGGGTTACACTTGAAGACAACCCAGAAGGTTCAACTGGTCCAGAATGCAGTGGTGTGAGCAATGACGGGCATGCCTCAGTACTTAGAAAATCCTACATAGCATTGGGCCTGGTTACTTGAGGCACCATCTATAGTACTTCCCAGCCGGTTCAATCTCAAAAGAGTTGGCATCGCACCTTTGTGGCAGCACCTGCCCTCTGGAATGAGGCCTTGCCCAAGGTGTGGATGGCACCCATTTTACTGTTGTTCTTCACCCAGGATTATGATTATGTTGAGGCAAAGTGAGAACCCTCACTTCATTATGCTTGCCATAATTTAGAGTTGTTGAGTTGGGCAGTGTATACATTTCATAAACTACAGCAATACAATATTTACAATTCAACACTATCCATGTCTATTCAAAAGTACTTCCCAAGGGAGGTATTCTCAGCTAAAAAGTCAATTATTGCATCTTCCTTCAATTATTAGTTGGGGTCACTAATAATCACAAGAATAAAACACCCTTGGGGAAATCAGTAGCTTTGTAGACAGAATATCAGTATTGGTACATTAGTTTTAACTAGTAACAATAAGACCCAAAGCAGTACAATAATCATGTTACTATGTACAGCAGACATGTCAAACTCGTGACGGCGCGCGACGTATCGGAGCTTCTTCTCCATTGCTGGCAATGGGGTGGGTACAGTTTCCTCGTGATGTGTCCGGCCCATGGGCCGGCAGTTTGACACCCGATGTACAGGGAGGGACGAGGGATGTAAGAAAATGACAGATAGTCATACTCCATTTTTTACATTTGTGCAACCTTCATTATATTACTAAAGGCTTATTTTTATTGTAGTTAGTAGTTTTACAAATGAAACACCAGAACAATGCACTTCAATTTGTTCAGTAAATTATGTTTATTTTCTCTGAAGTCTTAATGTCTGCATTTGAATTTTTACCATAATTTGTCACCATTATTTTTTTTAATTTTTTTAAAAAAAATAACCATTAACCAATCAAGTGACATCCAAATTATTTAAGGGGGGGATGAAAAGCAATAAAACCTTTGGGATTATTTACATTGGAGATATGAATGGTCCCAACTGAGGAAGAAGCACATGGCTTCATTCATTCACTGAACTGTATTTTGCATCAAAAGATCAGAATTAGGCATACAGTGGTTTTCTACGGCAGGGCTTTTCAACCTTTTCACTCATTGTACCACTTTTAGGATATGGCAATAACCAAGTACCACCAGTCGCCTAGCAAGGTGTCAAAAACTTGATGACCCCCCCCCAAAAAAGGAAAAAAGTGATAAAGTACAGGTAGTCCTCGACTTACAACAGTTCGCTTAGTGACTGTTCGAAGTTACAATGGCACTGAAAAAAGTGCCCCCCAAGCCACAGCCGAGCAAGACACCTGCCCGCCCGCCCGGCGGCGCTCTTCCTCCTGTCTGAGGTTTCCATTGTTGTGAGCATTTCTGTTGAGGATTGGCAGCAGAGGTGGAGTGGGGGGGTGTTTGGTTTTTATTCCCCCCATCTGCTGGGTGGTTGCAGCAGGTTTTGGTCACTTCACATGACCCTGGGACACTGTGACCGTCATAAATATGAATCAGTTGCCAAGCATCTAAATGTAAATCACAAGACCCTGGAGATGCTGCAACATTCCAGCTGATCGGTGCTTCTATTGGGCTCAGCAGAAGCGCCAGGATCAGTACCGAGCTCCAGCTAGAGCCTGGCGCTGATCCTGGTGCTTCCACTGAGCCCTGACAGCCCTGCAGCTCCAGCCGTCTCTGGCTCAGGCTTGTGCGGTGCTGCCACCGGTTCAGCTCATTCCCCTCCCCGGCTACCACTTTTCTAGGATGTTCGTGTACCACCTGCCAGGTGCCAATGTACCACAGGTGGTACCCGTACCACTGGTTGAAAAGCCCTGTTCTACGGAAGCAAAAGTTGGACTTGGAAAAAGCAAAAAAAGAGTATAGATGCTTTTGAACTTTGGTGTTGAAGAAGACTCCAGAGAATATCATGAACAACCAAGAGGATATAAAATGAATCACTAAATCAATTCAGAGTTCCCACTTGTTGACCAAGCTCAATTTTGGAGGCAAAGATCCAGCTCCTTGAGAAGTCCATAAAGTTGGGGAGAGTGGAAGGAGAAAAGACAACCAGCAGAAAAATGAATTACAGCTGTGTTGGGCGCACCACTGAAGGACCAACTTGGGGACAGGTCACCAAGAGTTAACACCAATTTGATGGCCATTAATCAATCACAACCAGAGCTAAGACTGATATTTCTGCATTCCTGGCTATGGAAAAACTTGGGAATAGTGGGAGAGAGAAGCATGGAATTCAAAGATACCTGAAAGGTTTATCTCTGAACTGAGAGGGGATTCTTTCTGCAGAGAAGGCAGAAGATGGTCAGCACTTGGATATGTTGGAATGAGAAGGTTAGCATTATTGTCCCAAGTCCACAGTTTTGCACAATACACTAAATCCTAATCTGACGACTCTCACTGGTTCCCAAAGCAACGCTAGGTTAAAATAAGATTTAGTAACTGCATTCACACAATATTCTTAATGTAGTTCCTTTATCGATTCATTTTTGAGATCAGACAATAATTAAACCAAACGGAGGGGGGGGGAAGGTAACATTAGCCAAGCCTGGCATTTTCTTCAGAAGTCACCAATTAGGCTCTTTACTGACCCTAAATAAACATGCCACGTCCACAGGAGCTGACACCTAAAGAGAACTTGGCTGAAATGCTGGGATGGTAGACCACGAGGAAACCCCAGGGTTGCAAGCTAGAAAAAAAAAGCGATTTCTTCCAAAGACGGCCAAGTAAACCGCTCTTGCACTCGGGGGAAAAAAAAAAAAACCTTGGCTGGGAGGGGGTTCTTTTTTTTTTTAGTGCACCCTTTTTTTTCAAAGTATCTTTTTTTTTTCCCCTTGCACCACGCGAATTCAGCCAGCATACTTATATTTTACTACAAAGACAGCGCAGGAAATCGGGTTAGTGAGGGGGAGGCGTCCCTACCGGCCCAAATCAGCCCCCTTTTTCCCAAGCCAGAAGTTGGAGGGCGTGGCCGCGGTTTCAACCCCCTTCACAGTGCGTGGGAGGAGGCGGGGCTACCCCGGGAAGGGGTGAAGGGTGGGGAGAAAGGCTTTCCCCGCGCATGCGCCTTCCCTCTTTTCTCTTCCCCCCTCCCCAGGCTTTCATTGTTGGGCTGGAGATGACGTGCTCCTTCTGGGTGGGACAGAGGCGCGGCGAGGCGCCATCGGGTGGGGGGTGCTGCCGGCAGGCTCCGCTCGGACTCCCCGCCCCGTCCAACCTCCCTCCTTCCCTCCCTCCCCCCCTCTCCGGGCCGGGCTGCTGGATGAAGGCGGCGGCAGGGCCAGCAAACAAAGGAGGAGGAGGAGGAGGAGGAGGAGGAGGAGGCAGGGGGGCGGGATCCTAGGCGAGCGGAGCCGATCTGGGGGCGGTGCGGCGGCGGCGGCAGCAGCAGCCCGAGAGAGCGACCCGAAGCCGGAGGCAGAGAGCCCGTCCCAGGCTGGGGGGGCAGCAGGAGGAGGAGGAGGAGGAGGAGGAAGAGGCGGAGGGGGAGCTGCAGGCAGCCATGCCCAGCGCCATCTACCAGCTGGATGGAGAAGCCTCCCGCTGCTGCCCCCCGCCTGGCTTGGGCGGGCTGCTGACCCCCCAGATCGCACAGCAGCCGGCTTGTTCCGGCAGCAGCTTCGCCCTGCCGGCCGGCCCCGAGCAGCCCAGCCTGGAGCCGCCTTCCCCGCCTCTCCTGCAAGAAGCCGAGGCGCCCCGAGACCCCGCGGCGGAGCTTTCCCTGGCCTTGGAGCAGCTTTCCATCTTAGGGCTGGCGGCAGAGGAGGAGGAGGAGGAAGAAGAAGAGGACGGAGAAGGCGGGAGAGACGAAGCGGAGGAGGAGAGGCAGCAGCAGCAGCAGGAGGAGGCGGCGGCCAAGGAGGATGGAGGAGGAGGAGGACCACGACCCGAGGACGACCTGATGGAGGCAGGTGATCCAGGAGGGCTGGACCCCTTCAGCTACCATGGGCTGCCCCCTTTGGCAGCAGCGCCGCCCGCAGGTGGGGGCCTGGTCCTGCTGGACGCCGAGGGCAGCCCCCCCGCCTCCAACTCCGTCTCCCCCGTGGAGATCCTCGGGGCCTTCCCGCCCCATCTGGGACACCCCCCTCCGCCACAGCACCCCCTGCTGGCCGGGCAGCTGGGCATCATCGGCAGCCGCAAGAAGAGTGTCAACATGACAGAATGCGTCTCGGTGCCCAGCTCGGAACATGTGGCAGAAATCGTGGGCCGTCAAGGTAAAACCGTCGAGGAAAGCAAGAAGAGTTGGTTGGTTGTGCCCATAATAAAGTTAGCCCATCAGTAGGAAAGGGCGGGTTCGCCATCCTTAGTTTTGGCCCCCCACCTGCCTCTAGATTCTCTCCCCCACTCCCCAATTACTCAGCAGTCTCTTACATAGCTTTTTAAAAGTCTTGGGAAGGTTGCATTTTATATGGGTTTGTCCCTTTCTCTTTAATTTATTTGGGGATGAAAAGAGCTTTCTTTCATTTTTTTTTTTTAAAAAGCAGCATCCATAGTACCATCCCATGTTTGGAGGGAATAGAACAAACTGCTGATCATTTTATTTTCTTTTTTAAAAAACAAAACTTTGGAAGGGGAGGTGACCCTGCTGAGGCAACCGATATATGTGGACACCCCAATCTAAGTTATTTTATGTAAGCATTTAGAAATGCTGCATTTCCCCCCAGATGTAGCTTTCTGAATGTGAAAACTGGCAGACTTCATCTCTCTATGCCCAACACCAACTTTTCCAGCTTTTGTGTGGCTAAATCCAGCCATATTTGGCTTTGTATTTCTCTTCCTTAATTCAAACTTTACTAAAATCCAGAAAGCCAAGGAACGCCTAATTTCTGGGCCTGTTCCATTTGGCTTTGGGGAGACTTTAAAAGCTTCTTTGTTCTTTCGTGTGATAGAAATGTGGAGAGGAAGGAAGGAAGGAAACTAAAAAACTTTTGACATTTACAGTTGGAAAAATTATTCCAGAAATAACAATATTCCATTTCCACCTACTTTCCCTTGTTTTGAGAGAACCGAGTAAGCATCTTTATGAATTGTATTTAAAGATAATCCTTATTTTGAATAGACAAGGTGCTACACACACTGAGGAGATTCATTTCAGCACAGGTTTGGGTGCTTGTTGTTGTTTCTGGGTGAAAAGGCTATAAGAAGTTGGCAAACTTGACCCATCTTCTGGAATCCATGCGAAATGGGTGTCACCTCTGCCCCTTTTTTTCAGGTCCCGCTTCTTTCTGGACCCATGTCGTTCCTTTTGTGAATTGCTCACTCAGCATAATTCCAATTATTCACATTCTTTCCTTCTTTCCATACATTTTAAGATTTTGATTTATAAAACCCATTTTTCTTAGCAGCAAAAGTATAAAGAGAATGAGCAAGTTTCAATGGGCAAAGATGAGCGTATGGTGGGCTGAATCTTGAACTGATGCTCCTCTGTCTTCCTTTGCTGGTTTTATATTTGAAAGCTACCATAATAAATGCCAAAATATATTGTAGGAAAATATACCCTTCCTTTTTCCAAAGCTGGGACATTTTTAAGACATTCTCCAAGCATCTAAATAAGAATTACTCCACCTCTGCATTTATAATCAGCCTAGGTTGCTGTATAACATTTTTGTATTTTTAAAGTTTGTAATTTTGGGGTCTGTATCAGTCTTTTCCCCTTGTCAATGGGGCACATATCTGCCCTATTGTTCGCTTTGTTAACTGAGACCATGCTGTGTTGAGCACGGTGACATCACGCTCCTTGTATCCTATTGGATAATTCTGAAAGTACCCCCCCTTCCCCTCCCGCCCCTATTTGGCCACACCCAATTTATATTAGGCCATGCAGCTCTCCTTCCAACTTTTTTCTGCTTCTCCTATCTTAGCAGAAGTCAGTGTTTAATTTCTCAAGAAGGCAGTCTGAAGTTTTTACTGTCCAATCAGGTAAATCTTTTCACTATCTCTAGCACATAGAGTGTGATTGGTTGGTGGTGGATAAAACACAGTGTTTGCTCAAAGATATCTTTTTAAGAAAATCTGGTGCTGTCTCACACTGCTTGTAAATAGTGATGTTGACTGAGTAGATTTTGATTAAAGCTGTATTGCCTTAGAAGATAAAAATCTTTAGAATTTTTTATGCAATTCCGTGAAAAATCTGTTTTCTGGTGCACAGGCAACTTTTTAAAAAAAGTTATTGCTAGCATACATCCAACAACAAATGTTATAGAGGAAATTTATCTGATACAATTTAGTTGGGAAGTGCAAAATATACAATTTAAACAAACAATACAGTTTTTGCATTTCTTTGTATATTTTCTTAGGTAAAAGATTTCTTAGGTAGCTGAGTTTTGTGTACAATAGCACATTCTTCTTTCTTGAAAATGCACATAGATCCCCTATTCAGCTTCAAGTTTCTAGCTCTCATCATGGAACAGTGTTTCCATCTGTCTTGAAATTCAAATTTCACTTCAGTTATGAACCCAGATTCTCCAAATTTGTTCAGCCATCATGCTTTGTTGTTAAAGAGGAGGCAATTAGGAAGAAAAAAAGGCTGAAGTTTCACCTGCAGAATAGGTATTGGGCCAAAAATTCTATTAGGGTCATTTTCCTCTGTTTGCTTTTAATTTGTAAAGATGGCATCTTGCTTTTTTTTTTCTTCTGAAGGGCCTAAACATCTCATGTCAGTCCAGAAAAGACCACTGTTGGAGAGAATGAAGCATCTTCTATATAATGGTCAATTTTTTTTATTACTTTCAGCCAAGGTTGTTGAAAAGACCTTCCAAGATTGAATCTGAACCCATTGAAATCAGGCAAAATAATAGGAGTGCATCTGCTTTTTCTCACTTTGAAGTATTATCTCTCCTACGAGTGTCATGGAGAAATGGATCCATTCCTGTTTTTCTTTCTGGATCCGTTAATGATTTTTAGTGCAGTGGATTGTGATGTCCTTCTGGACTGACTGATGGAACCGAGTCTTGGAGAATGAACGTTGTCTTGGGAAGTTCTTTCTTTAGCCCCTTTGAGGGACATACAGCCAAAATTGAGGCCCAAAATTTCTACTGCTAAGCAAGACAGTTGGTAAGTGAGTTTTGCCCCATTGTACAACCTGTCTTGCCACAGTGGTTAAGTGAATCACTGCACTTGTTAAGTTAGCAACACAATTGTTAAGTGAATCTGGCTTTCCCACTGACTTTAATTGTCAGAGGGTCACAAAAAGTGATCACATGACCTCAGGATGCTCAGGGTATCATAAATACATGCCAGTTGCCAAGTGTTAAAATTTTGATCACATGACCATGGGGATGCTGCAATGGTGGTAAGTCTGAAAAATGGTCATAAGTCAATTTTTTCCAGTGCTGTTGTAACTTTGAACAGTCACTAAACGAATAATTGTAAGTGCAAGACTTACCTATAGTGATACCCGAAGAATACTAGACAATACCAGGGCCATTACTGTGTGCTGCACATAGGTAACATAGCACCTGTGGGCAGCAGGGTGCATGGGGATACCTCCCTAGAGGCCTTCCTTCTCCCTTCCCCTCAGATCTTATCAATGGAAGACTAACAGGCTGCAAAGCAAAACACCAGACATGATCTTCAACCATCACTGGGTCTCATGGAGGACAGAAGCATTCTTAGAAAATAAAATGGTGTGGGTGGCTGCAGCGCCATCTTTATTGGGCTCTTTGTCCATCTGACCAAAAATAAGACAGAAATTGTAGAAAGGATCTTCTACCAGAAGCCAGAAAAGCTGATGAACAGTTATGTCTCCATTTCAAGTGGGGCTTTGGATCGGCCATACCCTCCCTCTATGGAAGCCATTTTGTGAGAGTGCCTACAACCCCCTATCCAAGTTCTAACTGTGCCCATCAGTCCAGGTGCGAGCCATTGGAACTCTTTGCCACTTAAGTCCAGGTTGAGCTGTCGGTAGCCTTGCCCAAATTCATTACTGGACTGCATGATGGTCCATACAGCCATTGACTGAATTGAAAGGATGGGTATTTATTCGATTTTTATCCCCCCTTTATTAGTTTTATAAATAATTCAAGGTGGCAAACATATCTAATACTCCTTCCTCCTCCTTTTTTCCTCACAACAACCACCCTGGGAGGTGGGTTGGGCTGAGAGAGAGAGAGAGAGCTTTCCTGCCTAAGGTGGAACTAGAACTCAGAGTCTCCTGATTTCTAGGCCAGCACCTACACCATTACACCAAAATGGTCAATGGGTCAATAAAAGGTTTAGCCTTTGTTCTATAAAGGGCTACATTCCCTCTAAAACAGGAGTGGGGAACAATGGTCCTTTTATGACTTGTGGACTTCAACTCCCAGAATTCCTGAGCCAGCCATGCTGGCTCAGGAATTCTGGGAGCTGAAGTCCACAAGTTATAAAAGGGCCGTGGTTCTCCATTTCTTCTCTAAAAGATAACATTCCTTCCTGGATTTTTTGATATTCCTGGATCTTTGCAAGGTAGAATGGCCAAGTGCTTTTGCAGGACAATGTGGTATATCTTGGTGTGTTGGCGTCCTATTGAAAGATTCCAAAAATTGAACCCAGGACCTTCACAAGCCAAAAAAAAAAGGCTTTGCTATTCAACTACGAGTTCCCAGGCTGTCTCTCTCACCCAGTGTTGGCTAGGCCCACCCAACCAAGTCACATTTCAATGAATTGTATTTCTAGGGTCAGGAATAGTCCACCTAGTCAGAATTTAACCAATCTGCCTCAGAGATTAATCCTGTGGTTTGTGAGCAGCAGGGAAGAGAAATTCCAGCCAAGAATGCTTCACTCTTAATTGCACATGTGTAAGCTGCTCTAGAAGCACACAGTGGTCCTTGACTTACGATCACAATTGGGTTTCTGCTGCTAAACAAGGCAGTTGTTAAGTGAGTCACACCCACTTTTATGACACGGTTAAGTGAATTACTGAAGTTGTTAAGTGAGTCACACAGTCGTTAAGTAAATCTGGTTTCCCCCATTGTCTTTCCTTGTCAGAAACCAGCCCGGAAGGTCGCAAATGGCGATCATGTGACTCCAGGATACTGCAGCTATCGTAAATATGTGCAAATTCAATGCCAAGCACCTGAATTTTGATGGTGTAACTGTGGGTATGTTGTGACAGTCATAAGTGCAGGGATCAATCATAAGTCACTTTTTTCAGCGCTGTTGCAACTTCGATTGGCCACTGTTTCTAAGTTGAGGACTATCTCCATGCACATCAAGGTACTGCACAGAGAATCCTTCC